CTCGATGAGTTCCAGACTCAGATATTTAACTCTCATCCCCTTGCATGTCTCAACATTACCATGCTCACAACTGAGTCCTTTATTCCATCCCTATCCTCTCTCCAAGCTTCTCTGTCGCAAGGCTTCCTTAGTTCAAGATGCGGGTACACTGTCAACAGCATCTGGTCTTTGAAACTGCGAGTCACCCTTGACTTTCCTTCATCCTTTCCTTTCGTCTCCATTAACAAGTCTGCTTCCCGGAATTTCCTACGTGTGCCCACTCCACTCCATCTCCATCACCACCATCATGGTCCAAATGCACATTGTCTTTCTCATGGACTGAGCTCCTCACTTCTGTTCTTTCTCCTCCTGGCAGTCAGATTCATTCTTTCAACTTTGATTCAGTTCATTAAAATCATTCAATGGACTGCCATTTTATTTAGAATAAAATCCCAACTCCTTACTGTGATCTAAAAGGTCCTGGGCAATCTAGGTCCTTTATACCTTATCTCATGCCATTCTCTGGGCTTTCTTCTGCTTCCTGTTCACAGCAACCATCAGAATTCTTTACCTTGAAACCCCCAAATTCTTTTGAGCCTCGGGTCTTCACCTGCCTTGAAGTCTCGCCCTCCAGCCTGCAATGCATGAGACTCACTTTCTTCCTATAGAGCTGCCTTCCTTATCCCCTCCGTAGAGAGGCTTTCCCTGATCACCTTTCCTTAAGTCTCTCATTTTACTCTCTGTTACAGAATACTGATCACTTCCTTGCTAGCACTGATCACAGTCTGCAATTATTTCATGTGTCTGTTTATTGATTTACTGCCTGGCTCTCACATCAGAATGTAACCTCTAAGAGGCAGAGTCCTTGAACAAGTCTTGTTTACCTTTGTGTTCCTAGCACCTAGCACATCAAAAAGCACCCACAACTTCACTCATTAACTAAAGATATGAATGAACAAATGACTTTTTTTCACATAAAATATTTTGCAGCATGCCGCTCTGTAAAACAAGTAAAAAGAAGCGGCTCAAATTGGGAGGGCGGCACCAAGCCCAGAACCCTTCAGGGTCAGTCCTTGGAGGGCTGTCAAGGACAGGAGTACAAATACAAGAACACCAGGTTGAAGTTGTCCACCTGCAGGAAGGTGCACCTTTGTCTAACTCTTACAGACTCATCTCAGAGGGTGGGGGTACCTTTGAGATACCTCCCGGGAATTCCTGTGGAATCAGGAACACTGTTTTAATGCCACTGCAAAGAAATCATTCCCAAAATAGGGTAAGAAAAGTTGTGCAAGGGAAAGAAA